TACTGTTCCCTCTTTGTTCAGTACATTATACACGCATTGTACTCTTCTTACATACGGAAATCTCGACCCAAGACTAACCGTTGCCAGCTCTTAGTATTTATTATTAATCATTCATACACAAATTAATTTGTTTTTTTAACAAAAATTTTTATTAAAGTGTTTCATTTATAACAATTAGCAATTAAAGCTCTATGGAAGTCAATTTAACTTTTTTTAAGATTCTTGAGGGTTAGAAATGTAACAAAATAAAAATAGTGAAAGTATGACACAAAATTGATAATTTTTATTAACTAAATTAATAAACAGTTATGACCATTTTGTATATTTTATTTTTGTAACTTCAAAAAAATTCGTAAAATGTTAATAGCAGTTACTTATTACATCCTTTGTATTGACGCCACGCTACGCAGCCGCCACTGGCCACTAGCCCAACCTTCCAAACATTTAAAATATAACAAAATATTATACGTTGAAAATATGCAAATTTGTTTTAAAGGTAATGAAATATTAAATATTCAAGGATAACGAGAAGGAAATTACTACAGAATATAAAATAAAAGCAGGTAATCAAAAGTAGAACGGAGTGAATATTTAGACAAAACGGGGGACAAGACTGTGAAAATCCTTAGGGACTGTTTTCCAGACTTCAGAGACCAGCTAAAAAGGTCGTAGCGAACATTTTTTCTTCCTTCAGAACGAACTGAAAGTGTGAACTCTTTTTCGTATACAAACGGAAAGAGATAAAAGAAAATAAAGACAAAAATATTTTCTTTGCCTTGCAAAAAAAAACAAATGAGGCCTTTTGTTTTTTTAAGCAAATATTTTAGCAGGGCTTTTATTTTTGCTAAATATGGGAAGTGCTGATAATAAATAAATATTGTAATAATGAAAACGACAAGAAGATAAAAACAAGTAGTTAATTTATATGTTATGTCAGATCTAAATCCCTTTTTAATTATTTCTCTTCTTTATTGTGTCCCTTTTTTGGTAACAGTCCCGGGCGATTCGACTGCAACAACAAAGACATAATTCACATATTTTACCTGTTTACTTAAGTTTAGAATTACGGGTCTAGGCTATTATAATCCACCGATCCACCTCCCATATAGATAAAGTTAATTTTTTATCGTTATATATTCATCCAATGAAAGGGGCAAAAAAATGTCTAAATATGTAACTAACTCGAGGACCATTGACGTTCTGATAAAATCACATTACATTAAATTCATATAGAACATATCAAATCTTTGAACCAAATACACTGTTATTCACGTGATTAAGCTTGACCGGCACAGCGTTGCCGACTTTTACATGTTTTCTTTATCAAATTTTCTTTTAATCAAATTTCTTTACATATTTTTTTTCAATCAAAATATTTTAGGAAACAAAAATGAATTAATTATAAACATCTTATAAGCTTCATTCAGAACCTCGCAATTAGTGGAATAAATTAGTGGTTTCAATTACACTTTATACACTTTAGTTTACGATTACGATCATTCACAATGTCTAAAAAACACAATTAAAATTAATAGAATATCCTAGCAACAGGTTGCGGTAATCAGTTATATCCATAGAGAAAGCCTAATATTTAGCTTATAAAACAATAAACTTTTGATTTCTAACCACATTTTTCTCTTGCCAGATGATAATAATAGGCCAAAGAATATACCTAGCTAGAAAAAGAATGGACTCTGCCATACTGAAAAATGGTCCTAAAGAAGTGGCGGCATCTATTGAGTAGGGCTTGTTTTAAATGGATCGAAGCGCGGGCTTTTTAAATGAGCGTATTTATTGAATTTTACACTAAAATAATTAAATTTGATTATTAAATCTTATTTTTTACACAAATTCAACAATGCTAATAACAAGAAGTATCGTTGTGATGTGTAAAAAATAAGATTTAACAGTATAATTTATACAATTATTAAATAAAATTAAAGCCAAACATGTGTAAATATTATTTATTATTTAAATTTTTTATTTATAAATCAAATATTTAAACATCGTTTATTATAATAAAACAAGACCAACGTAATACGTCTAAATTTTTGTAAATGGAGTAAATATAAATAGGTACTTAAATGATGGCAAAAATACTTACATTATATTGCGACTTACATTATATTTTTACGGCCAAAAACAAAAGGAGTTGTCTAATTAAAATACATATAACAAATTATAATTTGAAAAACGTTTTGATAATCACTTGATAATATTATTATTAGCGCTATGACAACGACAATATTTTTTGAGAATTTGACAATAGTATGACAATGGCCGTTGGAAACTATGGAAACTACAAAATAATTCTGATTTAACACCATCTGGCAATAACAAGTAGCAACTTCTTAACCTAAAAATTAATTGCACTACCACCTAGCGCCTGAGGGTAGAACTATTTTATTTGAAATTTCCGTGGAAACGGTGGAACCGTTTTTGCTATTTCACTTTCCCGCCCCTGTCATAGGCCAAAATGACATTCCTCGCAAATTTTGAAGCACAAAACATCCCCCTTTAGAACTTTTTCTTTAATGGCCATAAGCGGGAGTAAAAGACCAACCGCCCGAACAAACACTAGAGGCGCCACCGGTCATCAAATGGTGTAAAAGTTGCTAAAATTTAATCATCTAATTTTAACACAAGGGCCTAACTTTTTTCATTTTAATTTCGCGCTTAACTTTTTTCATTTTAATTTTAATTCAATATTCATTGTTTTCAAACTACATTATTAGACTTTGTTGTATTTTGTGAATGTATAAATGTTTTCTTAGTATAAAGTTGCATTATATTAATTTAAATTATATTACATACATATTTAAAATTCAAATATTATGACGTATATGTCAATTGCCGTCTATGTCATCTTGATAACAAAAAGTTAGTTATTGTCGGAAATAGTTAAAATTATGTTAAAATATTAAAACTTACAAGTTATAATTAGATATTTTATATTATTTCAAAAACAAAAACGTAATGGTACCGCGTAATGTTGATATGCAGGTCCAAAACAAAAAGTGCCGTTATATTTTTCAGTTTTCGTTGTCAGCCGCGGAAGTTTCAGCGATTTTAGTGTTGTCGGATATTTTTATTTGTGAAATAGAAATATTACGTTTGGATTGCAAAACTAAAAGTGGAAGCTTTATTGCAATGTAAGTAAGCGTTTGTCCATTTTATATTTTACTTTTTTCATACCTACGACAAATATACATATATTGAAATTTTATAATTCATTTTATTTAAAAAATGTTAGAAAACAAGCTTGTAATCCTGTAATTGACATAATTGTTATGTAATATATTCCATTTAAATGTAATATATTACTTAACCGAGCACTTAACAATTAAAAAAATGTAAATTTAAAAAATATATTAAAAATATATACAGGCATTAATTGAATTTTTTAGTGTGCGAACAAAACACGAGAGGCGCTATATTATTTACTTTCATTTCTTAACATGACAGACGAAGTTCTAAAGGGGGATGTTTTGTGTTTTGAAGTATAATTAGTGGAAAAGTTGAAAGTTTGTTAACTTTTTCCACTAATTGAAAATTCCAACCACTAATTTTGACGTTCTGAAGCTTACATTCAAATTAGAGAAACAAACTTTTACGCTAATTGAAACCACTAATTTATTCCACTAATTGCGAGGTTCTGAATGAAGCTATAAACATTTATTATTTACGTCAACAAAACTCACACAGCAGTTAGGGATGTGAGGACATTCTTAAGAGCAGTCATGAACATAGAGAGGCATTGCTAAGCTTTCTCGTTCAAAATATTCTAATAAAGTTGAGAGCAGTTCTTTGCAATGACTGTTAAGCTGCTTCGGCATCGTACACTTCGCACTAAAATCGGTTCTAAAAAGAACAGTTTTCAAATGCACGGTCTGCTAGTAAAATTTTTTAAGCTTAAAGTACAACAATTCACTTAAACCTTTTTAACACCATTCCTTTTTAACACAACTAACTAAATAAATGTGACAACTTGACATTTTTACCACCTGAATCCACAGCGGGAAATTTAAATTCCAGTTAGTCAGCCCGGCGCTGAGTATGCCCATGGTTATACCATTCATTATCTATACAACATTAGCCACTATAATTATTATAAACTTTTTTTCCAATTTAGCCGAAATGTTGAATGCGCGTGTAAGTAATTTAAAAAAAATTAAGAAACACGTTACTAAAAATTGTATTAATCAATAATAAATATGTAAAAATATGTCAAAATTAAAAAAAAAACGATTAAAAAAGTCGCCTTGACTAGGATTCGAACTTGCCTTACTACGGCTCCAACGTCATAGCAGCGTAAAGTCCTAACGCTTTAAACCACGCGGCCACCGAGGACTTGAAAGATTCTATGTAAAATTCTTACTTAAAAGATAATGTTTAGTGAAAGTACTTCTTTATTTATAAACATTTATTTAATTCTGTTTTTAGTATTTGTTCTTATAGCGGCAACATAGATACATTAGAGACTTTTTAAGTCCCTTATTCGATCAGCTTTATACATTATCCGTTATTTAGAGCATGCGCATTGATACAAAAATAAGGGATTACCCTATTAGTGGATAGCGTTTGCCGCTATTTAGGTTCAAATAAACGGTACGCTATTACGGGATTCATTTTAGCACGGTTGCCAAGTGTAATACTTATTTGGATTATGATCAAAGAAGAAAAAAAAAAGAAAACTGCTACAAAAGGGTAAAAAATAATACGTAAATTAGTTCCTAAATATATACTTTTTTGTAGTCTTCTTTTGTCTATCAAAATAATACAACCAACATATTTGAGTGACAAAAATTGGCAACGCCAAGATGTAGTGTCCAAGTTGATGGTTGACACTTTGTAGCATGTTTTTTAAACTTGCTACTTTTTGGATAATATCTCTTTTTATTAATTAATGTTATGATGGATATGTCTCTTTTTATTAATTAATGTTTATAAATTTATCTTAATTAATTATAATATTTAAATATGTCTTTATCATTATTTTATATATATTTAACAGCAGCAGGTGAGCTACGCAGTGTTGACAGTTTCTTTTAATTTATCTTTCTAATATTTTTCCCCAAAATACCTGTTCATTTGGTCAGTACGGCAACGCCGCTAACTTCCGTTTTCTGATGTCATTTCTGGATTGTCAAAATCTTTGGTGGTTCATTTTGGTCGATGATTGTTCTTTTTCCCTCCGATCGCCATATTGGCGTGGCGATCGGGAGGAGATCGTCTTTTTTGGTGAAATCCTTTCTTGTTGGTTCCTGTGAGGATTACCAGCATAATTTTTGAATGCTGTTGAACAATTTTGTAAATTTAAATAAATAAGAATAAGAATTTGCCTGAACCAAAATAGATTAGTTTTTTGATGTGCCATGTGGCCAGATATTGGGTAAGTTAACTTATTCACGTTTTTTCCTTTTTTCAATTCTGATTTTTAATAATTTTCATTAGATTTGGACAGTTTTGGAATGGACCCACTAACTTTTTTAATTGTCGATGGTAGCTGGATAAATTGCTAGTTACGCTTTGGGGTAAGGTATCATAACCTAAAATCTACAAATATTAATTTAAATATTGTCCACAGGGTCTTGATTTTGGTTATTTCTTTCTGCTTTTTACTTTTCCTGGTTTGCCTTCCTTGCTTTGGATGGTTTTATCTTAACATTCACTTGCACGTGATTACATGGTGTCGAGACATCCACCCTGTTTTCCAACTCAACAAAGATTTGTGGCCTTACTGATGCAACTGTAGTTCCTGGAGTTCACCCTGTTCAACCCTGTTCATCATTGCCGTACTCAGCTGCTGTTGTTGGATAAGTTACCCAAGCTTGTATACTTTTATTTTGGGGTACACTATAAAAAGGTATAGATAGTAAAGTTTGATTTATTTTATTAATTTTTCTATAAGTAGTTTTCAACATCTGTAATATTTCACTTAATTATATACTTTTCAATTTAATTATATACTTTAATTACAAATTTAAGTAATATTTTAACCTCATTTTCAAAATTTAAACCTATTTCATTGTTTTTCTGGTCGTTATAAAACAAACGTATTTTATAACCAAACATTAATTTTAATTAATATATTTAGATTTAGTAGAGTAGAAACTTATTTGTTTTATTGCATGAATGAGGTTCCATCTTGGCAAATATCTTTTCCAAATAACAGTTTTCTGAATCTTTAATGTTATTTAACTATTAGGTAGATTCAGTGGTGCTCATTTAAGCACAAACCTTACTCACCCTATAATGCTCTCCAGGCGAACAGCACCGTCGCCGTAATGTATTAATAAAATTTCATTTTGATATTACGTTGCGTTACAACTTGACATCTTGACATTTGCAAAATTTAACGTTAACGTTTGACAGATGACGTGTTAAATAAACGGCTCAAAATCTAAAATGACAGTACCTGGCCAACAAAAGTTGTCGGTTATTTTTCACAAACTGCGCATGATCAGTATAACGTTTAGCGTTTTACGTCATTTACCAAATAGGCGACCTAAAAACTCTCTATTATCTGTAAAAATTTCAACTGTCTAGCTATAACTGTTCATAAGATAGACCTTTGTGACAGACAGACGGACAGCGAAATCTTGGTAATAGGGTTCCCGTTTTTACACTTTGGGTACGGAACCCTAAAAAGTAATATCTATCGAGAAACTATGGTTACTCTCGTTGAATTTGACATTTAATTACAGTTTAATAATATATTTTTTTACTTTTGTGCTTAGGCGTAAAAGACCAATAACAACAATATTTGCAATTCGCATTTCACAATTCGCGTGTATATGAACCCACTTTTACTCTTGGACGATTTTCGCATTTTTGGCCTACTCCGAAAGTTGTTTGACTTACAGTCATTGTAAGTATCGCTGATATGGTTAACGGACATGCACTAATTTTTGACAGTATTCTCAGTTTGATAGGACTTCTAATAAAAAAATCCCATATGTTGCATACTTAGTGGACCACACTGTATATTAGCAATGAAATAGATTATAATTTAACGCCGTCTTAACTATAACTATGAAAGATGAGTATTTATGTAGTAAGACATCAATAGACTCGAACAAAAGTTCCAAAGAAACATCATGAGTATAAAATGCAAGCGATGTGAAAGTTATTTACAAAAAAATATTTATTTATACTGTGATACGTAAAACGTATATGTAGTTTGTACAAACGAACGAATCGTAAGAGTCAATTCAATATGAGACATTGAATCGTGTGATTCGATTTAATAAAAAGAATAGCAATGCTAATCGCTAGTTTCAAAGGCAATTTTTAAATAGGTGTATTGTTTTTTAGGAATTAAATATTCCGCAACCTGTGTGGGAGTAGCAAACCGCGCGCCACGTAAATATTTAATCTGGACATTTGTTTTCCAATTTCGTGTCTATTCTTGATGGGACCAGGATCGATGCAACGTTGAATTTAAAACGCGTACTCGCGTATTCCGTCTGCCAGCTAGTGACTTAACATGAATTTTTCAGCTGCTATTTGTTCGATGTGTCTTTCCTAAACGATATTTCGAAAAAGGTATCAATATATTATCATCAAATTAGATTATTTTCACTTTTTCACGTTTTAAAGAACAATTTAAGAAAAACCATGAAACTGAAAGGGCATTATAATATTTATGAAGAAAGTTTATGTCTGTGTTCGAAATCAGATTCAATTTACTTTAAGTCATGTTGCTTTTGGGGTTGGTCTATATTCTAATGTAGGGTTATTGGAGTTAAATGTTTTTTTGACACTATCTGTAATATACTTGCCGTAAATTTTAAAGAATAAAAAATACTTGTTTGTTATGTGTTTTCTAAACGATATCTCAAAAAGGTGTCAATACACAGGGTGAGTCTTAAATAAGTGCAAATATTTTCAGGTTGCAGGCTGGTAGATCTCGATAAAAGAAACATATTTTCTCTTTAACATTTTTTCAGATAAGTCCAAAATAAGCTAGTTATTAAAGTTTGAAAATTTACAAAAAAAGCCACCGGATTTTTTCTGTATTTGCATCTCTTTTAGTGCCGTAATCATGGAATAAAGCCGTAACTATGGTAATATCAGAGATTAAGAAATTATACCGTGGGACAATTTGCGGTGAACAGGAACACCTCATAGAAGTGTTCCTGAGGTCGTAATATACTACTCCTGAAAATATTTGCACTTATTTAAGACTCACCCTGTATTACCATCAAATTACATTATTTTTACTAGTTTTAAAGAATAATTTAACAAAAAAACATAAAACTGAAAGGGCATCATAATATTTATGAAGACAGTGTATGTTTGTGTTCGAAATCAGATTCAATTTACTATGACTCAAGTTGCTTTTAGGGTTGGTCTATATTGTAATGTAGTATTGATGTAAGTTTATTGGACTTAAAAAGGACTTAAAACTTGGAAATGTTTTTACTCTGTATAATATACTTACCACTCTGTATATAGGATTACCTCTCGTTATTTAAAAACATATATAAAAAAGAATATAAATTAAAATATTCAACGATAACAAAAAGATACTCGTTTAAAACATATTTTAATTATTACACAATTAAAACTAGATATAGGCGTATCATCAATCATGTGACAAATTTTAGCTAGTTGAAATCTAATGCTCAAAATTCTTCATTTCCTTTTTACTGCATAAGATGATTCAATCTTCAAAAGGTCTTTTCATATTAAGAGGCATATGTGGAGTTCTACTTCGAAAAGCAGCCACATTCATTTCTCTCATGTTGTCAATAATAGTTAGTCGAGATGTGTAAGCATTGTCTTTAACATTTCCCCATAAAAACCCTAGACCAGATAAAACAGGAGCATTTAAGCATTATATCAATGGATGAATGCACAATCCAGACATCAATTAATAGAATCATGTCACTTTCTCTCTGAAGAAGTTTTAATTTTCGCCAAATTTATAAAAATTTGTTTTCTTTTAACTGACACAAAATGATAACCAAATGATAACTAGTTGTTAAAGTTGAACTAATTTGACAGCTATGTTGAAGTATCCTCAGGCATATTAAAGCTACCTAGCTACCTAATAAAATAAGATCTACTGACACTAAATCATGCAAATTAAAATATCTAGGAAAATCTTTGTTTGAGAGGCAGGCAACCTTAATAATATTTTGAAGAGACATGAATCATAGAATATCGGAATAATATACTGGATGATCCATTTAAAATAAAAGAGTACTTGCTTTTAAAAGTTCAATATTAATTTTGTCTCACCCTGTATAACTTTTTGGGTCAAGTTTTAATTTGATTTAAAGTACAATAGTAGCTTTAACTACATATTAAGCTATACCGGATAAATTCCTATTTAGGTACCTAGCTTTTATTGAAATTTAGAATTTGTTCTACATTTTAGTCATACACTTCTGTAATGAAACTCACCTTTATTTTCCTCCTAGAATCCGAAATTCAGTTAATATATAAGGTAGCATATCTTAAAAAGCATCCAATTTTGAAGATACAAAATTAAAATTTAAAATTTATCCTTTATTTTTAGAAGATGCTAAATATTTCAAAAATTATACATTTTAGTCATATGCTTTTCTAATGAAACTCACCTTTATTTTTCTCCTAGAATCCTTAAATCAGTTAATATATAAGGTGTTCTATTACAAAAAACATAACTTTGATGTTTATAACTTTTTTGGGGACACCCTGTAGAACTCTCTGTATTTCTAATATACTTTCAGTTAACCTACATACTGCTACAACCCATTTTTTACATTCCATTTTTATATAAACTACCGCTCTCCTTAGAGTCTCCGTGTCGTATGAGAGGTAATACCTAAAATGCGTATGTAGTTTGTTCAAATGAACGAATCGTAAGAGTCGATTCAATATGAGAAATTAAATCGTGCGATTCGATTCACTAAAAAGAATCACAAATCACAATGCCCATCACTAGTACAAAGGCAATTTTTAAATAGGTGTTTTTGCTTTTAAGGAGTTAAATATTCCGCAAACTGGTGTGGGAGTAGCAAACCGCGCCACGTAAATATTTAATCTTGACATTCGTTTTCCAATTTTGTGCCTATTCTTGATGGGACCAGGATCGATGCAACGTTGAATTTAAAACGCGTACTCGCGTATTCCGTCCACCAGCTAGTGACTTAACATGAATTTTTCAGCTGCTATTTGTTCGACGTGTCTTTTCTAAACGATATTTTCTAAAAGGTATCAATATATTATCATCAAATTACATTATTTTCACTAGTTTTAAAGGACAATTCAAGACCTTCAAGTAAAACTGAGAGGTCATTATAATATTGAGGCTAAGCGCAAATTGAGTCGCGTCTATCACGTGTGACATGACCTGGCACGACGCGAGTTTTTATAACCCAACAGAAATAAATGGGACAGCGCAAATTGACAGTGCGACGCGATCCGCGTGACCTGACGCGTGCCTCGCATTTGCGTGCTTAATTTTGATAATTGAATACAGTAACGTTTAGGTAACATTTACCTACAGTACCTTTTAGTAACATTTACCTACACTTCCGCATCATCTGATTCTGATTCAGAACTCAGAACTAAAGTTTAGTAACAATAATTATTTTGATGGCGAATCAGACATTTTTATGCAGCCGTTTTTATACGATTGCAGAGGTGAGATACTGAAAAACTGCGTCCCAATTTGTGGACCACCAAGCAGCGCGAGTGCCGCGTCCAGTCATGCCGGTCGCGCCATGTCACGTCAAGTCATGTCACACGCCATACATACACGCGACTCAATTTGCGCCTAGCCTTATGAAGAAAGTTTATGTCTGTGTTCGAAATCAGATTAAATTTTTATGTAAAATCCGTTCTAGAACTAGAAATATGAAATATGAAATTTAGTACAGAGGTCCTAAGAAGTGATATTATAGAAGATTGAAATTAAAATATAGTGAAAATTAGTAAAGATTAAAACTGGTATAAAAATTTGTCGACTCGAGATCAATACTAACAAAATAGAATATATGTGTATCGGAGGAGAACAACAAGATCTAATACTAGAAGAAGGGAAGAAAATTAAGTGCTGCACAAAATACAAATATTTGGGTATGCAAATCACAAATGATGGACTGTTGGATACAGCAATTAAAGAACGAAACCAACTTGGAAGGAATGCTATCACGGTATTGAATGGGATACTGTGGGATAGAAGCATAAACAACAAGAACAAAACTCTAATATACAATACCATCATAAAGAGTATAACCACGTACAGCTGTGAAGTCTGGCCAATTAAGGAAACAACAAAACGAATGCTGGAAGCTACAGAGATGGATTTTTGGAGAAGATCAGCAGGCAAATCAAGACTC